ATTAGCCAGGCCTGGTGGCACATGCCTATAATCCCAGCTACTTAGGAGGCTGAGGTAGAAGACTTGCTTGAACCCAAGAGACAGAGGTTGTGGTGAGCCGAGATTGCGCCATTGCACTCTAGCCTGGGAAAGAAGAGTGAAACTTCCTCTCAAAAGAAAAAAAAAATTAGTCAAAGCGTTAGAGCACAAATGAGAAACTCTCCCAGGAAGGAAAACTAAAAACAAAAATATGGACCATGTAAGATAAATAATAAGGAAATTAAACGATCAACCCAGGAAATCTTATATCTTATATATTGTATAGTATTTCCAGAGAGAAGAAGGACAATGTTGTCAAATAAATTATCAGATAAACAATAGAAGAAAATTTCTCAAAGGAATCAGCTTCTAGATTGAAAGGCTCCACCAATACAGCATATTATGTGTCAAAGATTCATGTATCATCATGAAATTTCATAGCATCAGAAATAAAGAGAACATTTTAAAAGTTTCTGAGGGCATAAAGAGGAATGAAAATAGGTTGTATCAAAAGATTAGGAATAAGAATAACATTGGTGTTCTCAACATCAACAGTGGAAATTGGAAGACAATGTGCCATGTCTTCAAAGTACTGAGGGAACATGATTTCTACCCTAGATATATATACTCATTCATAATATCTATCGATAGTGAAGATGAAATAATGACTTTTTGGACATGCAAAATCTCAAAAATTTACCTCCTGTAAAAAGCCACAGGAGGTAATTTGTCCACAAAAATGACAAATTAAACCAAGATAATAGGTCATGAGATTTATAAAACAGTAGACCCTGCACAGAAGAGAAAGAAAGAGACTTTCAAGCATGATGAAAATAGAGAACTAGCATAATACTTATATTTCTGCAGCAGCCTTAGGGAGCAACATGGGAATGAGAAGACAGAGATCCCCAGGAAAAAACAAATGAAACTGATAAGGGATTTAACAGGATTTACTATGTATAAAATTGTTTTGAGGGGATTTTACAGCCATATCAAAAAGTGTGGAAAGACTTAGACATTCAAATTAAGGTACCAAACTAAAAAATAAAATAATAACCCCAGTAAAAATCAAAAGTTACATGTGACAAGAATTATAACCATAGTATATCACGTGGATCAGTAATAAATGATATTTACGTAGGTACTGTGTTAAAAATACTAAATATGGATTTAACTAAAAATTGTGATATAAGCATATTGAAGGTTGAAAAGAGAGTGAGGAACTATAAAAAGGCTAAGAGTGCTCCTCAACTATAATAGGAATGTGACAAAAAATGCTCAAAATTGATTAATCAAGAGTCACCAGTAGCAGCATAGCATTTAGAAACACTGAAGTAAATACCAGCGTGAAGAGCTTTAAAAAAAATGAAAGTGGTTGCTTCTGATGAAGGGAAGGAAGGAGGCCTTATGGACTGCTTTGTCATTGATATAAACCTTTTAGCATTTCTTGACTTTTAAAACTATGCGTATGTATCACTTTCACAGCTTTCTGTTCATTTCATTTTTTACCTGTTAGAGAAGCAAGGGTATAAATTAAAAGATGTTTCAAACCACTGCTATAGACAATGTTTCTTATATATAGAAATCTCTGCTGGAAAGCTATTGGGCAAAGGAGAAATATTACCATCTTGTTAATGCATTTGCTTAACCATATATTATCTGTCTCTCTCACTAAAAATTAAGGTCTATAAGGGTGGCAACAAGTGATGTGCTAGTAAATGTCTGACAACAGCTATATCAAAAGGGGAAAAGCTGTTATTTGTAGCATTTGTCCATTTCTGTGGTGTAACTACTACTATCATTCCTGATTTCAAGCTACCAGTTGATGTCACTGAATGCAGAGCTGGGAAAAGATGCACAGAATCAGATTTTCTGGACTGGCTCTAACATACCATTGCTAGAAACCCTGTCTGTCTTGCTTAGTGTTCTACCTAGGGTTCAACACAGGTGCTCAATAAATAGTTGTTGACCTGTTGATTAAACAGGGAAAAAATAATAGAAGCCCAGGGATAAACAAATATCAAACTACATAATTTGATCTGAGAATATACCATTTATAATTTTGAAAGCTGGAAATACTAAGAACCTTTCTGCCAGTAATCAGAAAACTTCAATAGAGTAGGAAGCTAAAGTCAGATTGTAACTTAGATGCCAGGTCATCACCAATCAATAAGGTTATCCTAGTCTCAAAGGAGAAAAAGTGGAAAGAAAGGTAACTGTGAGCCAGGCACTCTGATAGTTACTGTTTACATGTTACTTTGTTCAATTTTCCTGGTAGTTCTAGAAGCTATAGCTCACTAACCCATTTTACACGTGGAGAAACTGAGACTCAATTGTCTGCGTCATTTGCCCAAGGGCACATAACTAGTAAAAGTGAGAGCTGGGATGTAAACCCAAGCTTATCTAACACCTTATCATATGCAGTTTCTGCTATACCGGCTACCTTCTAAAGTACTTTTGAACAAGATAATTTAGGGAAAGTGGGGGTTTTGTTTATCAGAGACAGGAACATAATTATCTCATCCTTTTATCATTCTTCAGTTACAAAGGTCCAGACTGAGCACATGTGAAGTGAGGGGTACAAATGCATCCAAACAGGCTTTTTCAGAAGCTCTGTGTTCTTTGTTGTAGCTCTTCTCTCTATTTCCTTGTTTAAAGCAGAGTGCAGGCTGCCTAGCAACCAAGCTAATGGCATCTCTTTTTTACCTTAATTACCTTATGTTTTCCACAAGCTCGAAGGGATTGACGCAAATATCAAGAGAAGAAGGTCTGAGTTTTTATGTCAAAATACCTGTTCATATATATGTGTGTGTGTGTGTGTGTGTTAATACACATACACATACATACATGTGCACACATATACCCTCTCCTTCCTTTGATCCTTTGATTAAAATAGAAAAATTACTTCGATTGTATCTATGTGATGCCATATCACTGGCTAAAAAGTACAAAAATTCACCATCCAGTTGCTTGCCTATAAACACATCAAACAACTGGTTTGACTAACATTCTGAGCAATTTGAGGAGTTCTTGCAGTTCTTGACTAAACTGACCAGTTATTTTTAGCTATGTGTGTGTGTGTGTGTGTGTGTGTGTGCACGCATGCATGTGTGTTTGTCTCCTAAAAGAAAGTAATACTTACTATAAACTTATCAGTAACAATAAAGTCCAAATCCATTATTGTTAATATCTCCGTTATTAATTTTTTATTAGAACAAGAATCAGCAAAATCTTTGCTATAACTCCTCCAGGCAGAAAGATACATAACCTAAGTTTCATTTGAATCACTATTCAGACAGAGAAGCAGCCCACAGGATGAAGAAATAAAGGACCGACGAAAAAGAATATGAATATCAGACACAATCAACTGCCTACCTAACAGTGTTCTTTCTTGCTAACAGAATCTCAGTTTTGTTTACGTTTTTCCAGCGGCTATATATTTTGTTCACATTTTTCAATCACGGTGGTCACATTCCTCCTTCTAGCTTATTGGTTTAGACATGGACATAGGACAGAAACGTGACAAAGAAAGTATGGGAAGAATTCTGCTTGGTGAGATTCTGAGAAAGATTTCTTCAGTCTTAAAAAGGGACACAAGAGAAAGACAGTCTCTACTTCCACCTCTGGACATTTTCACCTATATGTGATGTCTGGAACTGTGGCAGCCACCTTGGGACCATAAGAGGAACCAGCTCATCAGGGCAAGTTTAGCATGCTGTAGCTTGTAAAGTGGAAAAATGAAAATAACCTGGTTCATTGATTACATTATTGACTGCTGAATTAACCAACCCTGGGGCTCTCCTATCTTCAAATTTTGAAAAAGAATTATTATTTAAACCATTTCGTATTGAGCTATTACTTACAGCCAGAAGCAATATGACTAATACAGTATTCTAGAAAATGCCAGAGCTTTTAAACTTATGTATATGTTGTTCTAAGTACTTTTGAAAATGCCTACTTCCTACATCTGATCTCCAATGCACGGAAACCTCCCTTTGTATTTTTTCCAATCTAAATGGCTTCTTTTCCTCCCCATCTTCCTCTCATATTCCTTGTCTTCTTTTTATTCTTCCTCTTTGTTTTTGTCTTTGTTTTCCACTCTTTTCTCTACTTTCTTTTCCTTCTTATTCCTTTTTCTTTCTCTAAGCCTTCAGTGGCTATGATTGGAATCAGAAATATGTCTATACATACATTTATCTACACATATATAAATACTATGTCTTGTATAGCAGAAGGGAGAACTTCTTCCCCATTCCAACTGGCCTGTCTTCACTCACTTACTCATTCCTCCCCACAAAGGAGAAATGATTTAATCTGGCTGGTTAGTTTGGAAGGAGAACTAAGATTGTGTAGCTCAGCCCCTCCTGTCTTCTTTCTTTTGGGAGCAGACTACCTAAAGGAAACATATGCTCTGCTGTTCTTCTCCAGACTATACATTTTACAAAAGGCCTGCTCTCATGGGGCAGGACTGCAGAGGTTCAGCAATACCATTGACTAGATGGAGAAGTTTGTTGAATCCTTGGGTTCAGTCAGTATTGGGAAGCTCAAATGCTTACAGGTAGAAGCCACATCGTCCAATACCAGTGTTATCAATAATAAAAGTAACCGTTTCTTATATACTAGCTCTTTTGCCTAATTGTTAGATTGGTTCAGACCTTACATTACAAACAGGGCTTCTTTTCATTAGGCTCCCTTGAACAGCACCAGTATATACTAAAGTTTTGTTTCTCTGTTCTTAAATGTATTTATTCTTCCTCACTATATAATGTCATCGTGGGCTGCTTAAAGATTAAAAAAAAAAATCTCCAACAATGTGCTTTTGTTTTACAAATGTTTTCAGCAAACTAAAGATGTTTTTAATTTGTCAGTGGTTGCCTGCCATTGATTGGGTTTCTTATGGAATTGAAACTTGGTATGAAAGTAATTTACCATGCTGATGTTTTAGGTTCTCAGCTTATGATAACTCACTAATGTGCACTTACTTGATCGAACTCCAACTTCTCAGGAATTTCACCTCTTACTGCTGCCTCTGTAAAGGCTTGATAGAAGGTTTTTTCTTGCGACTCCACTGTAATGGTCAACACTGCATCATAGGCTTCTCGGAGCTTTGGGTTGTTCCTTAGGACCTGGTAGGGGGTGTGCTTATAAGGTAAACTGTAGAGCAGGGCATCATAGGGAACAAAGACGTAGGTTCCATCAGTCATTTTCAGATCATGAGCGCATTCCAAGAGATGCATCTGAGTCTCTCCCCCAATCAAAGCTGAATGCATACACATGATGATTACTGAAACCAACAAAGCAAGGAGGTTATGGCAGCAATCTGTTAGTAAAACATAGTACCAAAAACTACAGATAGGGAAAATAAATGTGTTCTAACCAATTTGTAAATGGTTTCTTATGGCTCTAAGATAACCAAGATGTTGTCCTGAGCTGAGGCTGAGGTATGTTCATGGACTCTGGATTAGGGATAGTGACAAGAGAGACATGCCCACAGGCTGCAGAGCCTAATACTAGAGAGGAACAAGAACTAGCATAATAAATAGGAAATAGCATAAAAAGAGGTTTTAGGGTTGAAAAAATTAGCTTTACATCGTAACACCACCAGTTTTAACTGTGTATCCTTTGTTAAATTACTTAACCTCTATCTGTCTCGTCCATAAAATAGAGGCAACAATATGTACTTATGGAGTGGTAGTGATGACTGAAGAAAGGAGACAAGTCATTTACTTAGTACCTAGCACATAATAAATAGTAGCTACTGTACACCTAAGAATTAGAAGAGAAAATAATAAGAGAGGATGGGAGATGTTACCACAGGACTATTGCTTTTTATTGTCCATCTCCTACACATATGTACTCTAACAGATTTTAACCAACTGTTCTCATCCTTATCAAGGTCATTATAGACAATGAATAGCACTAACTTACTCACCTCTAAATGTTACTGCAAGTTGAGTACTCCTTATACAAACTTTTCAGGTCCAAAAGTATTTCAGATTTCAGACTTTTCTTTTATTTGGGAAATTAAGTATAATATTTGCATTATACTTACCCGTTGAGCATGCCTAATCCAAAAATCTGAAACACTTCAATGAGTATTTCCTTTGAGTGCCATGTTGGTGCTCAGAAGTTTTCAATTTTGGAACATTATTTCAGATTTGCAGATTAAGGATATACTGTCTAATATTATGGGTGAGAAGTTCAACTTTTTCAAATCTAACTTCCCTGTAATTGGAATTACTATGCATTCAATTTAATTCTTCCTAGACTTATGAAACTATGTTATTTGGCAAGGTTATGCTAGAATGGAGTGGATTCAAGGGGGCCACGGTTGAAAAAATGGCAGCTAGATCATGAGACCGAAAGTCTTACATCCAATTTTGCCCTTGGCATGCTAAATAAGTTTAGTTTAAGCCCACTTGTGCTTCAGTGCCCACATCTTTAAAATTTAGATTCCAATGAATCTTACAGGTACATTGAGTAGTTTAATTAGATAATGCCTGGCAAGTATTCTGAGCTCCTTGAAGAAAGGCAAAGGCTCTATTGCTACTGGTAAATATTAATTATACATGTTTACACTGAACCTTTAATCTCAGAAACTTAAGTGTGCTTTACTATATTCAATGACTTGTCTTTGGCATTTGCATATTGTTTCAACTATTTTCAAACACCATTTTTACATGTGCTAAACGCCCTAGAGAGTTTTCCTTTGAGCTAGAGCTGATATCTTTCTTTTTTAAAGTGTAACTAATAAGTTACGAGGTTGATTCAAACATACCATATACATACGCACACACCACAGCATAACATGAGTTTTCAAATAACCATTAGTAACTCCTTTAAAATAATTACACTAAGAGGTGCTGCATGTATTCTGATGTTCACACTTTTTTTAGAATTCTTGAGGGGTATCTTTGGAGCTAGTTCATGAGCCACACAACAAATTCAGCCTCACTTGTTTATAATCCCACATTGTATAATGGGAAAATGGAGTGCCAGAGAGGTTTGACAATGCAAGAGCTGGATTTGGAGAAAGTAGAACTGAAGACCTCTCACTCTCTACATTTGGCTGCAACATTAAAAATAAATTAGTTTGGTCAAATTAGTATAGTCACAGGTCCATTGAGTGGGGGGAAACAAGTTTGGTCAGGGGCTTCAGTTGACCAGTTTGTCCAACAGTATCCTCGGCAAGTATATCAGCATTAGCATCTTTCTTCTGCAAATCAAAGATTGAATGATTTGTTCAAGGTTACTCAACAATAGTACAATTTGATTTAATTTACTTAAAGGGATATAAAAGTAACTGTACTGTATGGAAAATGTTAAATAGAAATAGTGTTTGGTGCTAATTGCAATACAGCAAATACTTTAACATATATTACATGTAGTAGACGCTTTTATGATGTGCCATCAAGATACACACTTCAATACTGAAGCACTCATTCCACCCGCTGCTGGGTATGTTAGCAGCTGATAGCAGATTTTTCTCTGAGAGTTGATCTCAGCTAAGGAAAGGCACCTCTCTCAAGGTTACATCCTCTCAGTAGTGTGCTGGGGCTCACTTTTGCCAGTTCAATTTTCAGAGATTTTGTGAGCCAGTTAACATCATGTTATTAGCTTGATATTGACCATTGTGGGAATGATTACACTATGTAAATCAGCAAACATTACAAATCAGAATTTTTTCCCTGTAAAGATTTGACTGTTAAACAATTATTATTACACACTGTGCCCCTTTCCATGGGTGAGACTGAGCCTAATGACTGTTCCGCATAGAGGCAGAACAACCTAGACTCCTCATCTTAACTCTGGACAATACTGAAGGGTCATACCAGCTCTAGAGCTCCCCCTAAGACTGGTTGAGGCCTTTGTTGACTGCACTGCCGTTTAATTCTTTCCGCACAATCCTACTGTCTTCTCTCCCTCACAGGTGTTCTCCTTGAAAATACTCATCCAAAAAGCTTCCAGCACTCAAAGTTCCATCTGACAGGCTGTTTTCCAGGGAAACTGACTTGTGACACTGTATTAGAGCCCCCCACCTTACCCTGACTTGACTTCTACCCTGGCACTTACAAGATTTATTGCTCTTATTTACCTGTATCAGCTACTAATACCAAACTGTGAGCTCTTTGAGGTCAGGAACTGTGTCTTTTTTATTTCCATATCCTTGTACATATTATGCACACAACGATGTTGTTTAGATGAATTTTGTAAACTAACAGCTTCTTCAGGAGGCGAGCTTGTACACTTAGGTATTTTTTTTTGTGTGGGTTTCTTGAGATATGAGATGTGGCATATTTTGATTGTTAGGATGGAGCAATGATTGAAAGTAATATTTGCTTCCAATTGCAGGTAGACACTGCCATGCCGCTTGTTCATGCCTACTATCATTAACTACGCCCAGTACCTTACCCTCAACCCTGAATATCTCATCTTTATTTTTCTTTCATTGACCCACACTAACAATATTTCCAAGGGTCCAAATTTTTATAACTGAAAAGACCCTTTGAGACCAAGTAGGCCAACCCATCACCGTCATTTTACAGATGAAGAAATAGGAACCTCAAGAGGGAAAAATCACAGGCTTTTCTTTTTTTGCATGGCAACATCTTGCTGTTGAACATGATTAAAGTAGAAAGCATAAATACTGAATTCAAACAACAGCATCTTAATTTAATAGATTGAGTGCTTCTTGAACAGGGATTTGTAGATACATCTGTTCTACAAGATAATTTTACTAAATAGTTTTATTATGTTAAAATTACATTCATTAAAATGGGATTTGACCTGTAAGTTGTTGTCAGGAAAGGATTAGTTTACAGAAACCTTACATCCTAAACAAGGCCTGGGTCAACAGGTGGTCACTGAATAATACTAATTTGTAAGTTTCCATCCTGTCAAGCTACTTTAGAGTCAAAACAAGGACTAGGAAACATACCCTTCTGAGATAGCATCTCACCACGATATGACACTAGCACTTTATCTGAGCTACTTGAGCTGTCTAGTGGCTATGTCTTCATATTGTGGCACCAACCACAGCAGGCTGTCTAGGACCCTTTCTTTCACCCTCAATGCTAGCAGCAGGAAATGTCATGAATCTCTGGGAGAAGCCAATTTCCATGTCACTCAACTCCTATTTCTCTTCCTAAATTAAAATAGTCTATCAAATGTTTTCTTGAGAAAGAGGAACTGTGTTTCTAAAAAGGCAAAGGTTACTTTACTTTCTAAAGTGACCTTTATTAAATTAAAATAGTCTATTAAATACTTTCTTGAGAGAGAAGTATGTTTCTGAAAAGGCAAAGGTCACTGTATTTCTCTCAGATTACTGGCTATGATGTCCTCCATGGAGGAAACTGGGCCTAGTGTCACACCTTGCAAGATGAAAATGAGTCTACTTGCTGCTGCTAAAGAAGTCCTTAGGAGCCATATTCGTATTTGTGATCCATTGATATTGCTCGCAATCCACAGAAACATCCCCCCATTCTATTGTCTTCACTCTTTATTTTAACCGCTTTGTGATATTTCCGGCCATTGACATTCATTTTAACAGTTGCTAAGAGGTCAGGGAGGGGAGGCAGACCAGAGGAGGAGAACAGCATGAAGATTAATCCCAAGTCTCATCTTCTCTCAGGATTCTTTCCTATCTGGCCAAATTGTAAAATAAGTAGATTCCTACCCTCTCCCTCTCAGTTTTCTCCCACCCAGCCTAATAAATGGCTGTGTAAGAAGGTGGGAGGCTCTGGAACGTGCATGTTTCCCAGGCCCCATCCCCAAGTGTGATTTAGTGCAGGAGGCCCTCAAAATACACTTTTAGAACACTACACAAGGTGTTGTGTGGCTATCTCTATCAGCTAAGGACATCCAACACATTTTTGGCCGTAAGTCCTGAAGTTACCACTTACTTAATTGCCACTGGTGTTGAACTGGTCTGAGTAGCTCAGCATGATGGCAGGTAACATTACATTCAATGACTATTCCATCCGCATCGGACCATGATTTTTTACATACTCAGTTAAACTTGTATTAGAATTGCATTTGTTGCCTTGACATTCCTGCCCAGCTTGAGATAAGTTTTTATATTTCTCCACACCTTGAAACATATGCTTTCTCCTGCTTTTTCTAAACTGTCATGTATGTAAGTCCTCTTATATGCAAGAATTCTAGATGTTTAGAGATTCCTCCTGTGTCAAGTCTTCAATAATTTGATCATTAGTGATCATTTGCCATTCATGAAAGCAAGTTGTCCTCTTGCCATTTATATTTACTTACATTTGGTGTTACATT